ATTAAAAACAAAAAACAAAAAAAAGAAAATATTTCTTTGGATATTCGAGTCTTGTGTGAATTCATATGAATTTTAAGATTTTTTTTTCCATTTCTGTAAAAAACATCTTTGAAGCTTTGATTAGAGTTGTATTGAATTGAACATTGGGTACTGTGGACATTCTATATTATTTTTCTAATCCATGAACAAAGGAGATGCCTTTCAATTCCTTTCATTAGGTTTTTTTTATTTTTTAGTATATAGTTCCTTCACTTTCTACCTTAAATTGTTTCAGAGTTACCTTTGCTATTGTCGTTCCTATTGTGAAAGGAATTTCCTTGACTGTGTGTTCTGGGGAGCTTCTTGTTAGTGTAGAGACATGATACTGACTTTTGTAATGTAAATTCTGTAGCCTGAAGCTTTCCTGGATTGTCTGTTAGTTACAATGAGTTTTTTTAGGTGAGCTCCTTGGAACTTTGTATATGATTGTGTCATCAGCAAACAGATAATTGTATTTCTTACTTGCTGGGTTCAGTGCTTCTGTTTCCTTGTCTAATCGTTCTTATTAGAACCTCCAGTACCATGTCAAAGAAAAGCAGCAAGGGGAGCAGAGATGGGACATGGCTGCTCTTCTAGAGGACCTGGGTTGGACTCCCAGCACCCACTCGGTGGCACACCCACACTCATGTGATGCACATAAACTCATGCAGATACTCGCATAGGCATGAAATAAATAAATAAATCTAAAACAAAAAGGAAAATAGTGACTGGAATAGGTAACATAAACACTTCCCTTCTAAGATCAGGGAAAAGGCAAGGATGCCCCTCTTGCTTTTACCTTATTTTGCTATTTATTTATTTTGATATTTGTGTGTGTGTGTGTGTATGTGGGGGGTGTATTGTCTCTATGTATATGTCTATTTATCACAGGTGTCAAAGTATCTTCTAGAAGTCAGAAAAGGGCATCAGCCCACCTTTTGGTTTTATTGTCGTTATTTCTTTTATTTCTGCACTGATCTTTATTATTTCCTTCTACACAGTTGGTTCTTTTCTCCATTCCCTGAGTGTGACGTCAGGCTTTTAACTTGAAATGCTCTTTTCCACACATGCCCTCGTTGCTGCAAACGTGCTCCTGAGCTGCCCCTGTGTTCACCAGCGTTGGCATGCTGTGCTTTCGTTTTTCTATGTGGAAAGCTGGCCCTCAGCTTTGCTTCTAATTTTTGCCTTAACCCATTGATTGCTCTGGGGGTCGTGGAGCTTTAAGAACTTTTTCAGGGTGCTGGAGAGATGGTTCAGTGTTAAGAGCACTTGTTGCTCCTACAGTGGACCCTGATTCAGTCCACAGTACCCACATAGTGGCTCACAACCATCCATAACTCCAGTTCTAGGGCATCAACACCCTCCTCTGGCCTCCAAGGGCACCAGGCATGTATGTAATTCACATACATATACAGAGGCAAAACACTAGTACACATTAAAATTTAAATAAATCTGAATTTTTTAAAAGAACTCTTTCAGTATTTAATCGTCACTCAACTCTACAAAGTAGAACTTTCATCTCACGTTTCTTTGTTTGTGAGACAGGGTTTCAGGCTAGGAGCTGAGGATGACTAAATTCCTAATCCTTTGCCTCCACCTCCCACATCCTGGGAGTATATGTAGGTCCCACCATACCGAGTCAAAGTAGTTCTTATGATCTCCATTTTGCAGACAGGGAAACTGAGTCTTGTGGAGGGGCCCCAAAACAGCTTGACCACATAGCTGCCATGATAGGCTTAGAGGCCCAGACACAGCTTCTGTGATAGGCTTACTGGCAGGCAACACCCAGACCCAGGAAAAGCCATAAGCTGACCCCACCCAGGGAGGGCCTACGTCTAAGGGAAAGTACCTGACATCCCAAACATTCCAACCATTAGATAAGGTGGCCAGATGTCCCTGAGTCTAGTACACACCTATTTTTGTTTTATAGATACCCCTAGACAAATGTCAGCCAATCAGGGTCCTGAACCCTGGAAATCCCCTCACCCCAACCTCTGCTATGATAAAAACTCTACCCCGCCTGGGCTCAGGGTTCTCTGCTCTCACCGCTGTGTCAGATAGACAGAGAGACCAAGCCCCAGAGCTTGAAAATAAAGGCTCTTTGCTTTTACATATGGGATTCAGTCTCTGTGGTGGTCTTTTGGGGGTCCTCACGATCTGGGCATAAAAAGTCTTAGTACCCAATGTCATGCTCGTTGAATCTGGCTCCAGTGTTGAAGCATTAAATGACTCTATCCACCATATAGTCTGTCAAATCCCTCAGTAACCCTGAGAGGAATCTTTGTTACCAACCCTGTTTGTACACAAGGCAGGCAAGCCTCAGAGAGAGGGGCCTGGCTTCTCAGAGTCAGGCGGAAGCCCTGTCCTGATTGCTTCCCCCAAGCCACACTGTGTTGCTAAAGTTTTCCTGCCTGGCCCACAGTCAGGACAAACTCTCTCACCTGCCAGTCCCACAGCCACTCAGACCCGACCAAATAAACACAGAGACTTATATTGGTTACAAACTGTATGGCCGTGGCAGGCTTCTTGCTAACTGTTCTTACAGCTTAAATTAATCCATTTCTATTAATCTATACCTTGCCACGTGGCTTGTGGCTTACTGGTACTTTACATCTTCCTTGTCCTGATGGCGGCTGGCAGTGTCTCCCTTACCCAGCTTCCTGTTCTCTCAATTCTCCTCTCTGTTAGTCCCGCCTATACTTCCTGCCTGGCAACTGACCAATTAGTGATTTATTCATTGGCCAATCAGCAACACATTTGACATACAGACCATCCCACAGCACTTCCCCTTTTCTTTTCTTAAAAAGGAAGGTTTTAACCTTTACACATCTCCAAAGTCAGAGAGAGATTTGTCCTGACTGTGGGCCAGGCAGGAAAACTTTAGCAACAAATGGCGTCCAACGTGGTGGCAAGAGTTTCCACCTAAAACCTGAGAAAAAAGATTCTAAAATGGAGCTAAAAACATTTCCTAGTTGTCTCTTTCAAGCTAGCGGCAGCCTGCCGGTTTGAGCTACTGGCGGGTTCCTAGCGTGCGTGCATGCTCGACCTGCAGCATGGTGGGAATGAGGCCTCTGCAAGTGGCACATTAAGCTGTGTGGTGGATTTAGCCTTTGCTAGTACAAAAAAAAAAAAAAAAGAGGTTTCTGGGCTACACGCTGCTTTGATAGAAGCATAGACCCACTATTTCTGAGAGTTGATGGCTCCCAGAGCTGGCGGAAAATGTATCACCGCCATGTTGGGAAGCTGAAGTGGGCGGAGCCAGCAGCGCCAGTGCCGTTTCAGGCTTAGAAGGCTGCAGTTTAAAGCAATAGGCTCAAGCTAATATAAAAAAATAAGTCACGTAAAGATGGCTACCACACAGAGAATCTGGATTGTGTTGTCTTTGGGATTTTTAACTGCAGAAAAACATTTGACTGTAAAAGCTGTTGAGTTATGTCAAAATGTATATTTTAAGGGTACCTTGACTTTAAAATTTGGATATAAGTATATGTTGCTTTGGAAAAGAGACTCTGCTTTTGTTCCCACAGAAAGCCAGAGGCTATGGATTTGTTCCAGATTAAGATACATCAGGTTTGACCAGCCAAGACCCCCTGAAAGGTCTCCGATGACACCAAGGCCCAGATGATCCAACATCCAGAATGGTTTGAAGGCAACTGGCTCAGACGATACAGCCTCATGGACTATTCCATAATCCTAAAGTTTTCTTTGTGTCCCCATAAGATACAGCGCCCCCCTCCAGCAGGAAGTAGTAAGAGAAGCGACGCCCAAATTCCCAAATTATATGTAATTTTACTTTGTTAAGGTTAAAACCTTCCTTTTTGAAAAAAAAATTGGGGGAAGTGCTGTGGGATGTCCTGTATGGCAAATGTGTTGCTGATTGGTCAATAAATAAAACACTGATTGGCCATTGGCTAGGCAGGAAGTGTAGGTGGGACAAGGAGGAGAATAAAGCTGGGAAGTGGAAGGCTGAGTCAGAGAGACACTGCCAGCCACCACCATGACAAGCAGTATGTGAAGATGCCGGTAAGCCACGAGTCACGTGGCAAGGTATAGATTAATAGAAATGGATTAATTTAAGCTGTAAGAACAGTTAGCAAGAAGCCTGCCACGGCCATACAGTTTGTAACCAATATAAGTCTCTGTGTTTATTTGGTTGGGTCTGAGTGGCTGTGGGACTGGCGGGTGAGAGAGATTTGTCCTGACTGTGGGCCAGGCAGGAAAACTTTAGCAACAACACTGTGTAGACTGAACTACCCCAGTGCCTTTATGTCTTCCCACCATCCCTACCTTCTGGACGTTTCTCTTCTCCCCTATTTCGTATTGGTTTTGAAATCCATCTATCCCACTGCAGATCCCAGGACAATGAAAAAACCCTCCTCCTCGCAAAGCCTCCTGGGAACCCTCTCAATTCCAGACTACGGGAAGGAAGCCTGTCTGAAGCCCCCCCCCCCCACGGTAATTCCCCTCCTCACACTCCCCTAGAACAGATCCCAATGGCCTCCTTTCTCTGTCCCCCAGATCCTTGCTAACTGTACGGCTCCTGTGCTGTGTCGTCTCCTGCTTAAACCATTCTCAGCCTGACCCTTGACTTTGCTTTCTTTTTTGTTTGTTTGTTTGCTTTCTTTAAAAACTATTTAAAGAATTCCTCTTAGGTTTCTATCAGGCCTGAAGTGGGAGCTTGAAATGCATCATTTCAGAGTCTAAAGCTAGATATTGTTACAGAGAAGGAAACCAAAGCAGAGAAGGGAAGTGGTCTCCCTAACATCACACAGGATGTGGAAGACCAGAGGCTGGGACCCGCAGAGTCCCTGGATTTTCCTCCCACACTGTTCTTCTTTCAACAATCATCACTGGGGGTAGATTAACCCCAAGTGAGGATGGAAGAACTTCCTCATGCACAGAAGTCATCAGCAGGGCCGTCCGAGCTGTACAAGAGGTACAGATGGCCACAGGGCATAAGCATTCTTCTTGGGGAGGATCAGGAAAGGCCATGGGGGAAGCAGCCATGGAACCTGGGCTGGTAACCTAGCTAGGCGTGCGGGAAGAGGGCTGGAGGTGCTGCTGTGAACGGGATCACAGGAAGGGCAGAAGGCAGCCGCGTTGGTCAGAGGGAGCCAGATCCTGAGTGGTGGGTCAAACGCGGTGAGTATGGGACACCCAAACCAGCTCAGATTCCTGTCCTCACACGTGACTTAGCGGCTTGGTGACCGCAGGGGAGATATGTAAGAAAAGTCAAGGTTTCACCCTCTTGGGTGGTCCCCCTGTATCATTGTGTGGTGAAGAACTCAGCAAGGAAGTGGAGCCTTCTACTTTGCATACTGAACCCCAACTTTCTGAGGGCAGGTGAGTGTCCACAGCGCTGCAGGACTGCTAGACTGATGTGGAGGGAAGAAATGAAGGCGAAATGCACGGAGTACTGGAGTCTGGTTTATTGGCTGAGGGTTAGCACAGCCCCCAGGTAGGACTTCTCCAGGTGACTGTCTCCCCAGCCTCCCTCCCTGCCCTGGGCAAGGTAGGGTGAGATGCTGGGGGCGGGAGTTTGTCAGCACCCCCTGCTCCCATGCAGGCTGAGAAGACCGACGATGCCATCCTAGCATCCAGTGCAAGCGGCATAGGCACAGATCTCACATGTGTTTGGGTCCTGAGCGATGGCCTCTGGTCAAGAGAGGAGGAGCCTGGTGAGAGACAGCCACCCTTCCCACCTTGCCCCTACCTCTCTTCAACTCGATTTTGGACATCTGTCACCAGCCACCAAGATAATCCCAGAGAGCCTGTCTCCCTCTGACCCTCTGGGCTTTCTGCCTCACATGGGGCATATGAATTACTGAAACCTGCCAACAAGTGCAGCTTCTACCCAGAAAGAAGAAGGAGTTATGATCAGATGGGACACGGGGTTCCTTTTATCCCATGCTTCAGCAGTTACCCGATTAGAACTAACCAATCAGAGCACACCTCCTCCTCAAGCACCACCAATCAGAGCACACCCCAGGCACATTAGCGAAGAGGCCACTCACGCAGCTTCTTCAGGATCTCCTCTGCGTTGGGTTTCTTGCAGAGGGGCTTCAGCGCTTCTGGAAATGCAGCATGGCTGCACAGTTGTGGTGCCACAGGCACAGCAAGCCTGGAGCAAACTTCTTGTGATTCACCAGCAGGGGCTCCGGTGCCTCCTGGAGGTCCTTCAGCTGTTTCACTGACTCTAGAGGAAAGGACAGGTCTCCATCCTGAAAGAGACAGCCAGAGCATGAGGCCAGGCTGCAGGAGACGCCAGCCTGGGTGGCTTGCTTGGGACGATCTGTGGGGCAGCATGAGGTCAGACCTCTGTGTCCCTGGGCTTGCAAGAGGCCCGAAGTTCTGCACACGACCGTGTGAGGAATAGGGAGGCAGCTGTGGAGAGCCAGGGATGCTGTGGCTGACCTGTGAGCAAGCTAGCCCAGGCCAGCCTGACTTCTCTTACCAGAGGGTCTCCACCTCAAGAAGCAATGAAAGGCTTCCAGAGGTCTCCCCGAGCAAGCAGGACCCCTGTTTGCTGACAACCCAGCTTGCGTCTGGTGTCACCGGTATGTCTGCCCAACCATCTAGGTCTTCATGCTGTGCAGTCGAAGCCTGGGACCAAGCCTGGTGCTCCAGGCAAGTGCAAGATGGGGGAACCAGGCCTGGATCTGAGTCCAGCCACCTCCCTTCCCAGCCACTGGCTTTGGCTGTTTTGGAACCTTTGTGAAGCTCACATTTCTGTTCCGTTAAATGCCACCAGCAACCCCTCCTTCCTGTGCTGCCGGGTTGCAGTGGGACGTGGGAGCAGCCAGACTCCAGGCACTCTGCCACTGTCTACCCCAGCTGTTACTTCGTGCTGTCTGTTTTCTCTTCCATGTTTGAAGGGAGAAAATTGCATGGCTAATAGGACTCGGGGGTCCCAGAGGAAGCCCATCCCTCGTTTCAGGATTCCAAGGAAGGGCCAGACCAAGTAGGGATGGGGCCATACCTGCACAGTGACCCCCTCTACCAGGACAGCCAAGGCACCCAGGAGGCACAGCAGAGAGAGCAAGCAGGGCATTCATGGCAGCAGCGTGCAGTGCACAGAACTGGCCAGTGCTGGGTGTCGGAGGTAAACAGTGGGACTTTTAAAGAGGCCGGGGTTACTCAGTAACCCTGGGGCCTGGTCAGCCTCATCAGCTGCCTGTTGAGCCTCATCAGATAAGGCCAAGGGAGCCTGGAAGATAAGAGATCAACAGAGCCCCAGCCCCTCCCTGGGCACTACTTTGACCCACAGCTGGGCTGGGCTCTTGCATTTACTCTGGGCCAGGCCCTGCAGACCCCACCCTGCCCTTGAAGAAAGAGGCCCAGAAAGGTGACTGTGACGACAATGACAACAGAGAGAGGGCCATTAGTGTGGGGGGTGGGGAGTCTGAAAGCGGCATCTCCCATCAGGGACAGGAAGCCTCCCCAAGGAGCTCAAGTCAATGCAGAGGCCTGAGGATGGGGTGCTTCTGTCCACAGAGGCTGTGTTAGGAGCGAGAGGTGAGCCGGGCCTGGAATGTTCAGGGGGATGTGAAGAGTAAGTGAGCCCAGAGAAAGGAGAAAGGGGAGGTTGGGAACACAGACTTGGTCTCTGTGATTCAACTCTGCCGTTCTCAGGCGTGCGTTCAAATCCCACCACCTGCTTGATTTTGATGTTAGCAAGTCACTGGCAGATGTTTCCCCTCCAAGTCTCATGGTCCCACCAGGTTCTCTAGGCAGACCAATGTGAATACCTCCCTGGCTGGCAGATGCCCTTGTGCTAGGTAGGGGTCTAGAGGACTCAGGTGTTCTGTGCAGTTAGTCCCTGGCACACAGGAAGCCCTTGATGAAGGTGCTGTTAGCTGAGCAGCAGCAGCGGCAGCAGCTCCTGGTCCCCCGCTGTCTCCTCTGATGGCCAGCTGCCTAGTCTAGCTACAGCAGGTCCTCAGGTGGTTTGGCCCCTCTTCCCTGCCCCACCCTGCTCTCAGTGGCTGAGATGGATGTGTGGATCTGGGCCCCTCCAATCCGGCCCGTTGGGATTGAGATGCCTAATGCAGTGTGTGTGCTCACTGCAGGACTTAGGGTGTATGAGCCCCAGGGCCCTAGAGAACACTGTCCCGGGGCCTTTTCTTCCTGCTGCTCCACCACACTGGCTGCATACCCACATAGCCAGGGTGAGGGAAAGCATCCCTAGATGGGAGAGTCAGTACTGAAGAAGGACCTGGGGGGAGAGGAGCCTGGGAAGAAGGAACTAGAAAGTGCCTAACCCAGGGGCAGGGGGAGGGGCAGGGGAGGGACAGGGGCAGGGAATTTTTAGTCCTGCAATGCTGTCCTACGCTAGACTGGACTTACGTCTCATCCCAGCCCCGCCCCCCCCCCCAACACACACACACTGTGGGGTCATGCGCAAATGCCTGCATGCACTGAGATGTATCTTGTATGTACGTAGAGGTGTGTGTGTGTGTGTGTGTACACTGAAGGAGCATGTGTGCATATACTGAGATGTGTATAAGTACATTGAGGTGTGTTTTGAAGGACATATGTAGGTATTCTGAAAGGGATTTGTGCAAAGGTGTGTTGTGGGCACTGAAGAGTGTGTGTACATTTGTGTGTAGGGGCACTGAGGGTGCTGATGTGTGTGCCTATGTATACCCGAGTATTACATACACTGAGGTGTTTGTATATGCTTGATTATAAGCATGAGTACACTAAAGAGTATTATCTATGGTAAGGATGAATGTGTGTGTGGTGTGTGTGTGTGTGTATGTATGCTCGCAATGAGGTGCCTGTGTGTGAACATGGAGATGTGTATATGCTAGGAGTGTGTATACACACTAAAGTGTGTGTATGTGTATTCGTCCATGTTTATACATGTATGTGAGGAGGTGGGTGTGTACTTCGGGGAACAGTGTCTGTGTGCCTGCAGACAAGTCCATGTGCAGTCCATGTGCTCCACACTGGCCTCTGCTGAGTGTTAGGTGTGCTCAAGGGCCTAGCAAGGGTGTAGCGGAGCAGGGATATGCAGCTGCAGGGTAGCAGTGAGCTGGGTTGGAGGTGAGGTCACTGATGCTGTGAACTGTGAACGGGAGGAATGATGTGGTGTCGCAGAAAGGACAGGGGACTGTTGAGAGGTGCATGGGGTGGCAGGGGTAAACTGGCCAACTTGAGAGTAGGCAGGTCAGCGGCTGGGAGCTCCTGTTAGAGCTTGAGCTGGCCTTTGGGGATGGAGATGTTAGGGTTGGGTTTGGAAGTGGATTCCCAGTTAGGACGGAGCTTGAGGTGGATACTAATGAGCATGAAGACGCTGGGCTGGGTTCGGATTAATTGTACCATTGCAATTGGGTAGAGTTTGCAGTGAGGATGGAGGGAGGGTGGGGCTGAGTTTACGATTTGGGTTAGGTCTGGGATGACGTGGGAACGTAAGACCTCTGCTGGGATTTGATTTGGTTTTAGGGTGGGACTGGGCTAGAGGAACCCTTTTCCGACTCAAAGTGGCTCTTGTCTTCCCTCCTAAGGTGTGGCTGGGATTGGGGGAGGGGGCGGGGGCTTCTTCCACCCCTGCTGCCTCTTCTGCTGATCAGGATGACGCAGTTCCACACTGTGGGAAAGAGGAAGTAGCTATTAGGTCCTATCCCTATCCAACACCAGGGACTATTCTGAGAAGCAGGACCCTCCTCTTCTCCCTTTCCCACTACTGCCCCTGCCCAACCTGGGGCCAGTTCTGAGTTCAGTCCCCCTGCCTCCTTTATAGGGAACATATGACCTCATCAGCCTGCGTTGAAGCTGCTACAAGTTGGAGCGTAGTTGTACTCCTGGAATCCCAAGCTTGCACCCTGAATCTGGAGCTTGTCTTCAGCACCCTGCATGCCTCTCTCGGTCACTTCGTGACTCCTGTTTGGGTTTCCCATACTCCAAGACCACCTCTTCTGGCAAGCCAGCACACTTCCATGGCCTTCCAGCCACAGCACCTCCTGGACCTGGCTGCATCACCATCTAGGGACAACCAGCTGCTCTCACCAAACCTCAGAGGAAAGCCAGACTGCCTGGCTGGCACTCAAGGTCATAACGTAGCCCCTGCTGAGTAGCCGTCCAACCAGGATCTCAAAGCACTACACAGGAGTGGGAGGGAGGCCAGAGCTTAGGCCCGAGAGCTAGGCTGCCCCTAGGTCTGATCCCAGCTTCAGCTTTTCAAAGTCACATAACCAGAGTCTCAGCTTCTGCGCTGAAGAAAGGTGAAGAGGGCCGTCCCACTGCAGAGTTCAGTGTTTTCTAGCAACTTTCGGGGGCCCCTGAACCCCGGAGGTAAGCCCACTTGCCTGCACTCTGGAGGCCTTCCCATCACACTCCGCGAGGCCAGCAGCACACGCTGTATGCCCAAGGCTCAGACAAGGCCTGGAATTCAGTGGATGCCCCCATGTCTAGAGGGAATCCAGAAGATGGCAGGGCTTGCCCTAGGCACTGATATCCACAGCAGTTAACAACTGTGGCTGACAACTCTTGAGACAGAGCACTCTGGGGATCAGACTGACACTACTCCCAATACAAATGGCCCTCACCCCCACTGCTGGAGGTTGGGAGGGGTTCTGCCAGATGTGGGGGCACCCTGGGCTTCCCAAGTAGACTGACACTATTCCTTTTGGCTAGCACATTTGGTTTAAAGGCTGTGTCTAGATGACCTCATTGTGATTACCATTAAGGTCAAGTCCACTAGAGACTTACCACTCACAGGACTCCTGCCTGTAAGCCCACAGGCCTAAACCAAACAAGGCCCAGAAACAGCCTGCTCTGTGTGACCTTGAGAGAGGTGTGGTCTGCATTTTGGTCCAACCTGCGAAGCTTGTAAATGTGCTTTCGAGGGTGTAGCAATCTCTGGTTGCCATGGGAACCCATAGGAAGCCATAACTGCCTGAGAATCCCAGTGGCTGTGAGCCTCCTAACAGCTTTGGCAGTAAGTGGAGATGAGTAAGAAATAACTGTAGAATCTCACTTTAAGGGGTGGTGTGGTGAGCTGGAACTCGGCGAGATTAAGAAACCACGACTTGCCAAGGGTACACACATCCATGGCTGCTGGGTCAGCTGTATTGACCGCATGGCAGGAAGGCACAGGGCCAACAGCACACGTGTAAACACTCTGGGCACCCTGAAGGCCAGGGGAAGGCACCACTTTTCAGGTTTACTGCCGGGTGGACCTGGCGACAACTGTGGTCATATAGCTATAAATTCCAGAACTGAATCCAATTTTCTCAAACGCCAAAGAAGCAGCTGCTCTTCTCCTGGGCGCAATGCCGGGCCTCCTGTACTGTTCCTGGCACCGCACACACACTTCCCCTTAAAGAGAAGTGGCCCGCGAGTCGGCGACGCCCACGTTGCAGAGGAGAAAATGGATCATCAGAGGGTTCCGTGTCACACAGGAAGTGGCAGCTGGTGGGGCTTGGAGGCCCTGGCCAGAGCCCAAGCCCAGCTCCCCTCCCCCAGGCTGGTGGGCGCTTTCTCTTGATGCTTCAGGGGGCAGCTGGGGAGTGGAGAAGGTGTGTCTGCTTGTTTGCCCAGTCCAGTCATCCCCCTGTGGATGGCCCGGATGAGAGGATGGGCACCCATTCACCATCTGCTCCCATTCTCCCATTCACACACAGCAGCTGCCTCCTCCTCCCCCTTCTGGAGGCATCTCGCTGAGACAACCTCACACCTTGGAGGGCAGGAAGGAGAGACTCAGGTAGAGTGTGCACCCTCAGGAGTGCCCTTCACACACACACACACACACACACACACACACACACACACACACACACACACACTCTCGGAGAAACCCAAGCTGGGAGAGGACGTGGACAGACTCCACTGGACTCCTTGTGCGACATGCTGGGAACCGTGAGAGGAAAGCTCTGGGCTCAGTTCCCTGAGGTGTCCAGGAGAGGAGAGCTGCCTGGGCTGGAGCACAGCCAGGCTCAAACGGCACCAAGCTTGGGCACTGGCCCGATGACAGTGAGAAACGGTTTAAGACCTTGGCAGGGCCACTGTGTACAAAGACGCTTCGGTCGAGGGCTGGGGGTAGATGGTGAGCTCCCACTGCTGAGCAAGCATCCAGGAAGAAAGGAATAGCCCATCTCAGCAGGTATGGGCAAGGGTGTGGGGGGCAGGGGACCAGCTATTTTTGGCAACTTGGTCAGAGCAGAGGGAAGTAGGGAAGAAGGGAAGTTCCTCTGGATCTATGTGTCATGCCCAGCTGCCATGTGTCTTCCAGCCAGCTTCTCAACACCACTCTGAGGTAAGGAGTTTTGTTCCCATGTTAAAAGAGGAAACTGAGGCTCAGGGAAGGTGGTGTCTTGCTCACAAAGAATCCTAGAACCTGACTCCACAGCTGACATTCTCCCCCGCTGCCTTAAGCATCGGTTGTGCTGGGCCCTCAGGTCCGCAGCAATCTGAACCACAGGCCGAAAGTGAGGGATCGGCTTCTGCTAGGATGAGGAGGCCTGGGCAGGCGCAGGTATACATCTGCTGTCTAGCTCAAAACAACACTAAAGGGAGAGAGGCAACAGGGACAAGCCAGACATGCGATGAGAAAACATATCTACAGGAGACTCCAGGGCCCAACTCCAACAGCACCTGGCTAAGAAGCCTGATCCCAGGTGAGCGTTGCCTAGGATACAGGAGCTTGGAAGAGAGATGCTCCTAAGCAGTCTGAGGAGCCTCCCCACCCCCCACCCCCGACCTGTCCCTCTACCTCCAAGCTGCTGAGCAACCCTAAGAATTGGTGTCTGGTTCCCCAGAACCCACCTAAATGCTGGGTGGGTGGGTTGGCAAGCCTTGGAAGGTGGAGATGGAATCCCCCAGACAAGCTGGCTAGCAAGACTAGCCTTTATCAGCTAGCTCTGGGTTTGACTGAGAACCTGGTTCACTGACCTGACCTCAAGTCAGGGGCCTCCACAAGTATCCTCATCTACATCAACATGTATCCACACGTGTGCCCACACATACAAACTGGAAACACACACACACACATACACAATGGGAAATAAAATCAGTTATAGCCATTCGGGTTACACAGTGACATCCACTCAACCATCATGGTGTCTGTCTGTCTGTCTGTCTCTCTCTCTCTCTCTCTCACACACACACACACACACACACACACACACACACACACCCTCACACACCTATGCTTGAGTGAACCAGGGCCATTCCTGCCATTTTGAGCATCACTCAGGCATGGGACAGGAAGGTGAAAAATGTCCTTGGGCAGCTTTATTATTTGTCTGGGATGGGAAGCTGCCCTCTGACCTTTTGGGGGGCCTGAGGGCAAAGAGGTGACATTCAGTAGGGAAGCGGGCAGGCTCTAGGGTAGGGTGGGCTGGGAAGAGGGAGGTCAAGGGCACCTGGGACTGTTGTGGAAGAGGAAATCGGCCTCTCTGGAAAGCACAGACCAGAATGAGGCAGATCTGGGCTCTGTCCTCCCCCTCACACTGGCAGTGACCTTTGGGCCACCACTTCACCTCTCAGAGTGGCAATACCTAGCAGTAAAAGGCAGATAATGGCACTGACCTTACGAGGTGGCTGGGAGTGCTGGGGCAGATAATGGCTGTCAAGTACCGGGCAGGGAGCTGGCAAATGGCGGCAATAATCATTATGCACTTGACAGAGCAGTGCATGGGGCACCATCCAGGCCCACGCAGGCTCAAAGGCAGGGCTGGGGAGGGAGAGGTGTGGGACCTGCCTGAGTGGCGCCTGTGGGAAGAATGTCCGTCCTTCCATCAGCAGGTCCCGGGGGGCAGAAGATTTGGGGTGACATTCCTGGGGGTGGTAAGCTACATTATAGTCCAGCCAAGGCAGCTGTGAAGTAACCCCACTTGGAGCTTAGGCTGAGAACTGCAAGGGATCGGGCTTCTCCAGCCAGCGGAGTTACCCTGCAAGAGGAGGGGGCCCAGACAGGGAGGGTTGGCACAGCTCAGAGTTGAAGGAACCCTTCTGGAAAACAGGCAAGCGGCTGGCAATCCCGCCCCCTGGTGGTCACAGGCATTCTGTGTAGCCTTTGCTTTATATGATTTTTGTTGTTTTTGTTTTTCTAGACAGCGTTTTCTCTGTGCAACAATCCTGGCTGGTCTCGAACTCAGAGATCCATGCCCCTGCCTCACGAGTGCTGGGATTAAAGGCACTTGCCATGATTTTAAGGACCTACTTTTATTATTTTAAAATTACGTGTATGTGTCTGTTGTGCATGAGTACACTGGATCCCCTGAAGCTGGAGTTACAGGTAGTTGTGAGCCACTGAACCCACCCGACACAGGTGCAGGGAAAGGAACTAGGGTCCCCCACAAGAGACCACATTTTTAGCCACTAAGTTCCCTCTCCAGCCCTGCCTTTCTGAAGTTCTTCAATACTCAGAGACAGTTAGGAAGCCCTGGGACAGACAGCAACCTGATGAAAACAGAGGTCCAAGGCTACTTGGACTAGCTTTGACATTCAGCCCTACTGCTGCTATGATTACCAGCTCTGCCACTTAGAGCAGGGTTACCCTGGGCAGGTAAGTTTAGTTATCTCTGTGTCTCAGATGCTTTATTAATTTGAGACAAGGTCTCTCTACATGGCCCTGCTGTCCTGGAACTAGCTGTGTAGATCTGGCTGGCCTCGAACTCAGAGACCCTCTTGCCTCTGCCTCTTGAGTGCAGTACCTCATAGTGGAGATACCACAATCAGGCCCAGGGATCTACTCCAGGTATTTGGGAAAAACAGCAGCTGTCCATCCTGCATTCCTGGGGTCCATGCTGTTTGGGACATTGTTCAAGAGCTGGGATCTGGCAACTGCCCTTATGGGGGCTGGAATCTGGTTTGCATGCAGCCAATTGCTTTTCCCATGTTGATTTGTCAATTAATCAGATGGGGGGGAGAGGAGACATGGGGGGGGAACACAGGAGGAAGTTCAAAACTCTCTTGAGTTTACTCCACGCAGGGACTGTCTGAGCAAGCCAACATGCTGCTGTTCTACCTGGCTGCAGACTATCCCCAACTCCAGAAGAGGCTGCTGACTTGTGTAGTGGGTAGCCATTCCAGCTTTGATCTGGAAGTTCCAACCCCCATTGAGACTTCGGCAACTGTCACGCCTACAAGGCGGGGCCAAGGGAGGCGCCTGGGGACCCGAGATCTGGATCGGCGGGCGCTCTCTCAGTTGCGGGACCCTGGACGGTGGAGGTGGACCGAGCAGAGCTCCAGAGAACACCGCTGGACTGTGATACACCTTCCCCAGACTCCGCGACCTACCTATCCCTTAATTTGTAAGTTATGCTATTAAATAAATCTCCCTTTAACTACGTGGAGTGGCTTTAATAATTTCACCAATAGACTTGCCCCCAAGAGCAGTGCACACGGCACAGCACGCCAACCATGGGCACACTCATGGTGGGATTCCGGCTCACACGTACATTCCATCTCACACAGTGCTAACCTTTAAGTCTCCATGCTCTCCCAGAGAGCTGCAGCTGCAGTGTTCCTCACGTCTCCAAAGCTGTCTCCTCTTCACACAACAGGGCCACGACACCACACCAACAGGTTACGGTCGATCAAGAGAGACGAGGTGTACATGGGGAGTCAGTCAGAGGACAACTTGTGGAAGGTGGTTCTCTCCTTCCAGCACTAGCTGAGGGGCCTGAACTCAAGTCATCAATCCTGGGGGCAAGTGGCTTTGCCTCCCGAGCCATCCCTCCCACCTGTTTATAGGAAATCTGACCTGCTGCTAGGTCGACGGCTCTCCATCCTTTCCCTCAGTTTTCCCTAAGGAGCTGTGTGACTTGGAACAAGCTGCTTCCTTTACTGGGTCTAAATGCTCTCAACAAAATATGATAGGGGCTGAAGAGATGGCTCAGCGGTTGAGAGTGCTCACTGCTCTTCCAGAACAGCCGGGTTCAATTCCCAGCAGGCACATGGCAGCTCACAAATGTCTCTAACTCCAATTCCAGGGGATCTGAACCTGTATGACTTCACACAGATATATATGCAGGCAAAACACCAATGCATAGGAAATAATAAACAAAACACAACACGATGGTATCATTAATCACTTTTCTAAGGCCCTCACCAGTGTGAAGTTTTGAATACCCAGTCTATGAAGACTGACTGAATTCCCATAGTTTGTCCAGGATGTTTACCAGCTGGCAAGGGTCACATGTAAAGACCAGCCCTCAGAGTTACATGTTAAAGTTGGGAGAAATACACATGCAGCACAATGACTATTTCCACTTCCTCTGAGCAGATGAGGTATACCCTCGCTGCATACCAATCAACACTAGGTGACCAAAACCTGCCTGCAATGGGAACATGGCCCAGGCTTGCCTTAAGAGATCTGTACACACACACACACACACACACACACACACACACACACACACACACACGCACACACATGCACAAAATGGTTGAGTAGTCACTGTCCTTGGCTTTGGCAAACTGTGGAGTTGAAGAGAGCTTTGGAGTCTGCCCCAGACAGAACCATCCTAAATCCACAACTAGTGGCAAAAGCTGAGGCGGGCTCTCCTTTCCGAGCCTGTTCCCACCTCTAAACACAAGACACCGATGCTCCTGCAGTGTGTGCAGGGTAACTTAAAAGCTTTGGACAGACTGCAGAGTGGTAGGAAGCTCTGCTCTCACAGATGAAGGGAGATTCCGTGTCCAAGTGCCGGTCTCCAGGCTTCTTGCCAGTCTACTGCTCAGCCTTTTCTGAACCTGTTCCCGCCTCAACCCACAATCTGCACTCTAATCCAGTCCTGAGGCAGGATGCGAACACCAGTGTCAGGGAGCCTAACCTCTGGCCTGGGGCGCTCTGGAGGCTGAGCTGCAATGCCTTCTCTGAGGGGCATCCCTAGGCCACTGTTCTCCTCACCAGAGAAACTTCCAAGTGGCCTCCCGGGCCAGCTGCTGCATTGCTCCTGGTTCTACTCATTAAAGGCAGGGTTGGGATCCCCTCAGCTCTGGGGTTCTCTCTGGAGAGCTTCCCCCAAGTGTCTGCTCAGAAAAGTGCAGTACAGAGACTAAACCAACTTTCAGCCCAGTGTAAGGCAGCAATGCACAGGCAAGTCTCAGACTCCCAAGGGCTCCTGGCCTGGCCACAGGTTCCAATCTGGCCCTTCAACTGCAGCAAATGACACAGACCATCAGGCTGCAAATACAGTTATCATAATATATTTATTTTAAGTGCCATCCATGCATATCAGTTCTGGCAGCGACGATCCTAATGACACTTGGAATATTTCTTTACAGCACTAAACGGTTACAAAGAATGGGTGCCACTCACCATCGGCAGAATATGAAATCGTGCAATAGGAAAACTGTAGAAACATTAAAACACTGACTGTCCAACAGCAGCACAGAGAGCAGGTTGTTTCTGCACAAAAGCCAATGCATGTCACCACATATATACAATATAGGTATGTACACATCACCCTCTCGATGAACATATCAAAATACTCTATTCCATTTGAAATTATCCCAAGGTCGATCCCCTCCCACTTCAAAGGACATTTGAGAGACGTGTATTAAATATTTACAGGAACACACAAGAATACATTTACATTTCAAACACTACCACAAATGCCAGTCGGACTCTTCTCCTGGACAGAGCACCTCATCTGTTTATGTACGGTTATTAGTCTCCAGTCAATTTAAGCCTAAGAGAACTTGCTCTGTATCATCAATTACCAACAGAAATGGCCACTAGAGGGACTCTGCACCCACCAGGTAGCCCTGTCTGGCCACAGCCCACTGGGGCCTGCTCTGAGCCCCTGGGGAACAGGGTCACAGAAGAGTGACGAGTCTGGTCTCAAGTGCCATTCTTGGTCAGTTCAAATATTAATAAATATGCCAATCACTGCAAATCAGTAAATAACTGCCAAATGGGATACTAGCTTCACATAATTTGTAAAATCATCACCAGTGGTCCCACCCAAGCCTTTCTGTTTCAGAGACTGCAGTACCCAACACCCGTTATTTCAAGTGCACACTGCTGGGAGCAATCCTAGTCATGGGGCAGCTGTTTGGGTGTTTGGAGAAAACCGAGACTTGGGTAAACTACTGGGAACCCCATCTTCCTATGCTTTCTTCTGCAGGTAGCCATCTATCTCATCTCATCTTGCCTGGTCCTTCCAAGAGAGGCCTGCTGGCTGCTGTTTGAGAATCCTCTGATTTTCACTTATCTGAGGGGCTGTACCTGAGCTTCCTTTTCATGCCAAGTGGGACCCAAACAACAGAGATGCACAAAGCTCTGCTTTCTTCTCAGTGATTCATTCCAGGCAACACTCCATGAGTACACAGACAGAAATCCATCAATATTTCTCTCTTACACACACACACACACACACACACACACACACACACACACACACACACACACACCTTTCTTCAAGTAGAGATTACTCAACCATAGACTTGCTGAGGCTTAGTTACATGATTTACCATTGCTGAGCCCAGAGACACTAACAAGCAACTGGTGAGCAGTTATTTTTCCTTGATTTGACAGACTATTTCCTCATTAAAACAGATTCTTTGTAAAGAACAATTAAAAATCTATTCACTGTGGGGAGGAGAATCTCCTTTCTTCTACTTTCATTATAAAATCAACACAATCAACCCATGCAAACTGTGACGTAACACGAACAAGCAACTGATAAGAGCTCTAAGTGTTTCTTTGTTGGGCACACAGACCCACCAGCACGTCAGCAGACAGACTCTGGAGCTACAGCCCCTTCCAGCGTTACCTAAAACACCGAGGACACTGCTGTATAAACCTGCCTCCATATCCTGCTGCCTAAACAGACTCTGATTCAGATTCCAGGAAATTCCTAGGTAGCTATTAAGTCTCCAACAGCAGGACGGCTAAATAAGATAGGAAGCATACTCACTTGGTAAAAGGAGTGGTGATAAAGAGAATGACAAATGTTTCTGATTGTCTTTGTCTGTAAACTTTTATCTGGAAAAAAAATATCCATGCTTTCAGACAAGTTTCTCCCTAGTGAACCCAAAAGAGCTGTGCATTCACAGAAAGTAGCAATAAATATTAAAATAACACTTCTGAATAATAAATACTTAAATGAATGTGGAGACCTTGATTTGTCTGAAGAGCCAATCAATATCCAGCTTCAATCTGTCCACACATTTCAGAGCTGTCCAAATGCGGCTGAGGAAACACACTGACAGAAACAAACAACACACACTCTACAACTCCCTGCGTTACAAGCCTGCTCAAGAACAACAGACCTCTGCACTGCGGAGAGTACCAACTCCAGGTTCCTTGACTTACTCGCTGGAATTCATGATTACTCCTATTTCTGAATATTAAATAAAGGAAACTGGGCTTTGGAAAGACCAATTTCCTTTCAGCTCCCTACATCGTCTGAAAGCATCCTGCAGAAAACGGCCTAAAGAGGAATAAAAACTGACAGTAACTTTCTTGTCAAGACACAATAATCCAATTAGAAAAAAACCTTGAAGCCTTTCAGTAATGTTTGTACACGTATTTACACATATGTATCCATAAACTGCTTGCAGCAAAATAGGCTCTGTCTGAAAAATCAGTCTGGCACTTGTGGTTAACATCAAACTGACACAAATATGCAAAAAGCTGTCCAAATCACAACAGTTAGGAGCTACAGAGGGCACTGGCGGGAGACAAACGTGTTCTTGCTTGGGTCAGATAAAAGCAGTAAGTTACCCAGCTAGAATCTCTGATTGTCTTCAAAAAGGAATTTAGATAGCACTGGTAACATCACTTTGTTTCCTCAACTGGACTCTAGTCCTTCCTTCCACTGAACAGAAAGGATGCTGGAGTCTGCTGTCTTGCAGAAACAAGCCTACACTATTGAATCCCAATCAAAGTCATCCTGGATATCGTCTGGAGGCAAAGAGCGCCGCATCTGGAAGGCTTGGGAAGGCATCATGTGCTGCTGGTTCATGGCTCCGTGATGGCCTGGAAAGAAGAAGGCAGGGTCAGCAGTGACCTGGGGAGGGAAGTCAGGAAGAGACCAACTAGCCCCAAAGAGGAGGTCTGAATAGGGACACTGCCTGGAATCCATCAAAAGCCTTCAACAAAGTTGTTTTTCCAGTCCTTGTTTTCTAGTAAGAACAGGTTTAAAGAAATGAACAAAACTCCAGGTATAATGATGCACACGTGCAATCTCAACACTCAGGAGACAGGGAGAAGGATCGTAGACTCAAGGTCAGGCTGGGCTATACAGACTGACTCCAAACACACAAGGTTTAAACTCAGTCTACCTGACTTCAAAACCAGGTCTTCTGTTCTTCTGCCTGCAGTGGGGAAGGCACG